ACAAACAAACAAACAAATTTGAGCCTACGCTTAGGAAAATAAAAAGAAAGTCGGATTTTAAATACACGTTCATGCATTTTTTTCCATCGATTAAACTGAATAAAAAATATGAAGTTTGTTTGAGATGTGATTCATCTTAAGGAAAATACTTCAAAATTTTAAAGCTGCCTTAATTAGTGAGAGATTATTTCGTCCTGAGGCATAGTACGCTCATGATGTACATTTCCTTGGAGAAATAAAACAAAATACTTCGTTGACTATTGTGGCGAAAATGTGGTGAAATAGGAACAAACACATTCATTTCTTGAACATATACTTACTCATAAGAAGCATCATACCTTTGTGTAATCTACCACAGTTTTGTCACCACTGTCGTCTGTTGGCAGCACCGTCTCCACAACTTCAATTTCGTGCTTCTCAGCAACGGAGTAGAATAGGAAGTAATGGGACAAGTACTTTTCACTCCCTGAATCCCAGGCAACGGGGTTACAAGGAGAGCTACCTTCACCTTGATCAATGATGTCCTGGATGGCTTCCACGGCTGTAAAGTAGTCATAAACCTTAATGGTATGTCCGTGTACAGACCATTCACTGAAGTCAACCTGTCGGCCCCTGTCTCCGGTGAATATACTGTTGTTTCTCCCGCAATCAGTGAGATAACCGAGGGCATTCAAAATGTGATTGTAAAATCCGCCTATTGTGTTGTGATGCTTGACAATTTTTATGTCGTCGCCTGGAAAATGACCGTGCTAAAATAGACACAAAAACAAGCAAACAGAAGTTTCTATGATTTTCTGATCAGAAAAAGAAATGTACTTCATTTTGATTCGCATGCTAAACTGCTAAACACGGCACCCCTTTATTTCCATATTTCCTAGTTTGTGTGTGTTATGCTCGACTTCTAACTTTTGTCTTTTTTTTCCATGTGTTGAATTTCTAGCCATTCACTTTAAGTATAAACTTTCAACTATTGTTTTTTTTTAATTGCCTTTTTTGTAAATGTCTAGCGAGTTATTCGTTCTTTAAGTTTCTATTTAATTTTTGGCAGTATGAACACTCTTCATGTTTGAATTTGTTAAACTACTGCTTTATCTACCAAGAATGTAACTCAAACGTAAGTGAACAAGTGGTTAAGTGACTGAATTGTAATGCATGCATTCGTCCTTCCTGGGAAGAAATTTTCCTCCCATCTTCGTGCAAGGAGAGTAGTACTTTGTTTTAATTTCAACCTATTGTATAGAGCTTGGAAGAGGACGTAAAAGAACCTACAGACTGATTGAAAAGAGTGGGCAACGTAGTTTCCGGTGCTGTGGTATATCTGCCCTCACACACACTTCAGGGTTGGGTGGAGGCTGGGCGATGGGCTGACCACCTGTCTCCAAGAGTTTCTGTTGGTCTTGGAAACCTCCTAGAAGGTCCTATGCGCTACTTAGCGCGGATAAAGGGGCGTGGAGCACAAAATCCCCCACAACCTAACGCTGTTAATATCATGCAAGAATTCCCCCTTGGTTGTAGTTACCTTTTCGCTGTTTTGCTGGTTTGCTTCTTCCTCGCTGTCCCCAAGGTTGCTCAGCGGGGAAACCATCCGACGAATGCTTTGCAGTTGGTTTAGTTTTAAATCTTTAAACCAGAATAATAGTACCGCATTAGTCTGGATTTGTTTAAACCTATTATCATTAATGACATATCGGAAGACACTGATTTGAGTTCCGTCTTCTCTTTTATCAAAATAATTCACCTTGCAATTATGTATTAATGTTCATTGAACGCACCATAGTATGTGGTGCAACAACTGTGTGCAAGGTGTCTGATGTCACTCGACCCATGTCAATTGGATAGAGAAGTTTTTCAAACTACAGTGAAATTGTTCATTTAATAATATATAGATTTAGAAGAGAGCGGAGCTCCTGATTGCAATAACTGACCATAAAGGAAAAAGAGAATTATTTTTTCCTGGATCAGAAACTCAGAAAATGATCAGTTGTGAGCATTTAATAGTTCATCGTGTGGTTTTGGTATTTTTTTCCAGATAAATTTTAACAAGCTATACCCAATAAGCCTAACCAAGATTATATAAATTACGTACGCAATATATTAAGGACTTAATTTCCAAGAAAATATTGTGCAAGGAATATGTCAGAAGAAAAGTCAAGAACGCGCCAGGGGTTACTTTACGCCGAAATTCTGCCTTTCCGAGTACTCCCTCCTTCTCCCCCAGAGAAATAACCTGACTTGAGCCCACGATCCAATCGGAAAACCAGTAACTGCTCAGCGGTCAACTTCAAAATACATGCAACCTCGATGAGCTCTAAACCTAAGCCCGCGATATGGTCACGTGATACTCGTCAGCGGATTGCTTGTTGTGACAGCTGTCAATTAACAATAGCTTGGATACCCAAAAATCAAAGATGTAGCCATGGTAATGGTGCTACTCTCTTAGTTTTCAAAGTAATGGCGTGCGGACNTGCGCATGGTTAAATTACAACATAACACGCTCTTAGTACGTTTCACATTTAGCTTTAACAGATTTTGACAATTATTCCATAGATTCCACTTGGAAACAGTCGTGGACAGCATGAGCAAAAATGTGCCTTCCAAACATTTATCGATAATTTAGAATTTATCCTGCGAAATCGCGCAGAATAGTGTCTAATACTTGGCTAAAATCAGGGGATATTTCGTAAACTTGCACGACAATTGTTTTAGTTTTGAACGCATGGATATCAAAGTACAGTTTATTGAGTGTTTTGCTGAATAACCGGAAAACATACCATTTTTCTCCCGGAAACTCGAAATTGCCTGTATCGCAACATATCAGTTGTGTACATACGGTGACAAATACTGAGTGCATGCACCATGCAATGACTATATTTGGACAGTGTTACAAGGTGTGCAATAATAAGTTGTAATCATTTATTGCGCTTTTGCTACTCACGTCGATGTTGAGAAAATAATGAAAACCGTGTACATGAAATAAAATGATACATACTGATCATGTACCTCAACAACAACCAGGGGGTGGTTGCTCAATGTTTCCATCTCGTTATCTGTAAGAGATCCTAAGGCCGGGAAGATCTGGATTCCAGCGGAATTTTCGTACCAGTGGAGATACTTGTCATAGACCATACCAAGCCAGAGCAGATCATCAGAACACGTCAGCGATGGATTTTCATTTAAAGGTAAAGCAACAAGGAGACCCTCAAAAATATTGGTAGCTATGGTTCCATTTTCGTATATTGGTAAACTGTTGCCAAAGTCAACAAAAACTTTCCTGTGATGTTGATCGACGTAAAAAGGCGTATCCTGAAGATGACTCACCAGTGACTTCATCATGCGGCCATGAGTAAAGAACGGTGGGGATTTCCGCCCTAACAAACCAATTGTACCTGAAAGTAATGCCAAAATATTTCTTCAGACAGTGCTTGACAAATGATGTAAACGTATTCGCAATAAGAGGGAGTGTGATGGCATATTAACAGTGATGAATAAATGAAAGATGTATTTTCCTACGTTATACGTTTGAAGAGTTCTTCAAACGGGAGTCGAACCTATGGCCTCTCGAGTACTATTTGAATGCTCTACCCAGGAGCTCCACGAGACTCGTGGGAGTTTAAGCCATTAAACTAGGATCTGAATGTCGATTGGTGGCAATTATTGACAAAGAGAGACAACATGATGGTATATTTTAAGCGTGGAATGTTTCAAGAGTTCAAGGCGCTTGGAGGAGAGACACATGAAAAAACATCGACGAAGCTTGTCAATAAAAATAACATTAATGAATTATAAATGCCAAGGATCTTAAAAAGGATAAGATCATAAACAGTAAGAGATGAAGAGGCAAAGATATATGCGATAAAAATGCTTCTCTAGAAGGAAAGAAAAGTTAAGAGTTCAGTTTTAAAACAAACACAGAGGAACTGCGCCTAATGTCAGATGGCAGACCATTCTGTATCCCCGGTACTGGCACGGAGAAAGATCTTTCCATAAATTTTAAGTTTAAGGCTCTCTTCTTGTGGGGGTACTGAAACGAGCAGCTGCATTTTCGGACGTTTAGGATAATACTCTACCTGTAATTCGTCCTGTAGTAAAATTGTTTTCCTCATAATTCGCCTGGTACATGTCCACGTTAAATCGTATGGATAATTTGTCGCTGGTTATGTTGAAATTGGTCATTGCCTTTTGGAGCTGTTTGATGAATGGCGAACCATTTCCATTATCTATCCATCGAATATTTGACAAAACTGATTGGTAAGCTGCCCCGAGGGTAGAATCTCCTCCTCTGTTTTTTATCATCTTTTTCCACATGTACTGAAAGGGGACTGGCATATAATCAGCCGAAAACAGGTTCCCAATTCGAATCCTCCAGCCCCAAATCTCAGAGAAAGTTTGGGCCTCGGTGTCCAAGTCGACCATCTTTGCCCACGTTCCGTTGCCACCGTCTACAAATAATAACGATAATTGAAATTTCAGTAAGGCCAACAATTATCGAAAATTTTACTTGAAAAGGCTTCGCCATCAACGAACTTGTATCTTTTTTAAAAGACATTTCATTTTTTGCTGTAATCCTTCTTTTTCCTCCGTTCCCCTATTCAATATTGAATACTTTACGGACCATAATGCATTACACATCTTTCTTAACTTTGAACTCAACTTTCCAAATGTAGGCTTGGTCTTTTCCGTCTCCCCTGCCTATAATTAATTAACGCAGGCTAAGACGAAATTGATTTTTCTATTTTCTAGTCTAAAAAGAATGTTACTAGAAGTTCGTCGTCGCCCATACAAAAATGCCAGTTTCCGGATGTTTTGAATGGTTGTTGAAACCGTTCTACCCATGGGTAGGAGTGCTTTTAGAATAGGGATTCTTTTATAACAACCTCCATTTGTCTTTTGTTTAGGAAATTGCACTATAGATCTCTAAGACATTCAATCTAATGTCTCTAATATAATCCGGACTTTCCGTTGTGATACCCAGGCCATTAATTAATTCTCTCAATGTCGTGATGGTTCAATACAATCAACTTGAAGATAACTTAGATAATTCGGTGAGTCTGTCAAACAGCAGACACTAAAATGTTAACATTGTTATCATCATAATCAATCATATCGTTGTAATAATATTTATTTAAAACATTTTATCTCAATAGGCTTTACAGTCCATATCACCTCGTATCTTTGCCCCCATGAGTGGTTCGGATTCCTTATCACCCTCATCTTCTCCCACACAGTGTCCATTGGCATAGCACACATGACTCACTGAGCCAGTCACGCTCCATTCGCCGCTGCCTTTTGGGTTCCAGTTTCCTGGGCCTTGCAACAGGTCTGCCGCGACAAAGTTTTCGGTGTCGTAGCGGGAGGGGTCGTTATTTACGGTTGATACATCAGAACGAAAAGTGCCACTGAAGTGGAAGTGTGGCCAGAGTAGGTAGTTCATGTAAGGATCATTAGGAAGTGCTTCATCAGCTGTGAAAGAACAACATGGTGCGCAAAGGATTTTTTTTCTTTTTTTTTTTTTCTTTTTATATTTCTATTTATTGAACGTATTACATGAAACTCATCTAGCACTTATACAACAAATTAATAGGACTTACATTACTTACAAACCAGGTTGATATATAAAAAGCGGAACAAAAACGCAAAAAAGAAAAGAAAGGAGGGCTCATAATCAATGCAATCTAGTGGAGTCGGAGAACAATGTTCAATTTTCCACTGAATTTCAATTTTACTTTGCAGTTCCTTAATGTTAGGTATCTTTAAAAGTGTCTTGGATGCATATAAATATTGCTTTGTACATAGTGCGAGAAGGTCTAGTCTGCGTTTTTGGCCCACGGTTAATTTACATTTTGGCCCCAAGAGGTGAAAAAGGAATTGCTCAGTCGAGGGAAAAACATTTAAATTGCTAATATCATTAAACCAATCCAAGTTGCAGTTATAGATTGACACCGTTACAGGGCACTCCCCAAAGATGTGGATAATGGAATCTTGACCGGAGCATAGGGAGCAATGATCATCTGCACAAAGGTTTAGAAAACAAATCACGGTGTAGCCTTTGTTTCTTCCTGTGATTTGTGGAGTACACGAATGGGGTTCTGTAACACCACAAAGACTCAGTCACAATGTTATAAATGGGAAGAAATATAAAACAATATTTTTATCACTGTTTCTAAAAAAATTACTTATATTAACGATTCCGTCGACCCCTCAAGAATTCCGAGATCACAGTCAAACTTGGAGGGTAACTAACTAGCACGTTTTCTATAACGTTACAGCACAAGAAAATTACATCATGATCTCCAATCAGATTTTGCCAAAACCCTAGAAGCACACCGAACTTGAACAGAATGTAATGAAAACCGATTTTTGCCACAGTAATATCAACTGATTTTACTGTTGGCTGACCTACTACTATACACCAAAATGTTTCCATGTAGATTAAGTTTCAAAAACGCCACTAGGTTTGGTTGCGTTTACCTTCATAAACCTTCAAAGTCCAAACGGGCTGAATCCCCCGACCCCACCCTCCTGGCCGGTCTGGATAGGGAAAGATTCTTGTCACAATGATTGCATTTATTTTCAGTCACAATTGTTCAAAATCTTTTTACTGTTGGTTCATAGCTTTTGCTTCTCCAAGGGAACCTAAGATAAAACCCGACAGGTGGGTGATTCAGTCCCCACCGTAAAGAAAGGTGGCATTCAACCCAAGCTATCCCCCCCCCCCCTTCCGTCGTCGCAACCATCCCCTCACAACAAGGACTTTGCTTTTCTGTTCATTTCAAGAACTCAATAATAAACGGTACAGGATAGTGGGCTCTCTGGTTTTCTCATTTAAAGAATTTTACAGTCACGCTTTGTCACACATGCATAGCTAAATCTAACAGACATTGAACACTCGTCAGCATTGTAAACAACCAGAAGGCAGTTAAATCTAGAAGCAAACATATTGTTGAAAACTCGATGAAAAACTTCATCGCCAACTATTGAAGGTCTCATTTCTTTTCTTTTCTTTT